TCAAAAGAAATATTTCTTAAGATTATCTACATTCCAAGTTCGAGGCAACGGTTGTCCGTCTGGTGTTTCCAGACGGTAGGTACCGTCCCTGACTTCTTCACAGATTCGGTAGGGTCCTTCCCAGTTGGGAGTTAGTTTGCCAGACTCATTAGCCCTACCAACTGCTTCCATTTTTCTAAGTACAAAGTCCCCTACTTTGAGTGGACGCCTGTGTACTTTTTTGTTGTATGATCTAGTCATTCTCAGGCGATAGATTTCATGGCGCAAGACAACATTGCCCCTCTTTTCAGGAAGTGAGTCTAATGCCAGGCGCATGGCTTCCCAGTTTGCCTCTTCGTCATATAGCATTACTCAAAGAGTCGGCTCGAAGTGTTCTATTGGAAGAACAACTTCCGCACCGTAAGTTAGGAGGAATGGAGTTTCTCCAGTCGCCCTTTTTTCAGTCGTCCTAATGGCCCAGAGAACATGTGGTAGTTCATCTGCCCATAGGCCGCCTGCTCGTTCAATCTTTTTCTTGAGACCGTCCGAGATGATTTTATTAAAGGCTTCTACCTGGCCGTTTGCTTGTGGACGGCCGACAGATGCAAAGTAGTTTGCAATTCCTTGGTCACCCAACCAGCTTTTGAGAACAGGCGTCTCAAATTGGGGACCATTATCAAAAACCATAGACATGGGAACCCCGAACCGAGTGATGACATTTTTCCAAATGAATGAAATTACATCTTTCGTCTTGATTCCCTTTACAGCCTCCGCCTCTACCCATTTAGTGAAGTAGTCAACGGCAACAAGTATGTACCTCATTCTGCCTGTAGCAGGCGTATATGGACCCAGAATGTCCATGCCCCACTTAGCTAACGGTAGTGGGCTATGAATGGTAGTGAGGTCAGTAGCCGGACGGTGAATTAGTTTGCCAAACCTTTGGCACTTGTCACATTTTTTCACCATCTCCATTGCATCTGCTTCCAAAGTAGGCCAAAAGTAGCCCTGCCGCCTTGCCCTTTGAGCAAGCGTCCTACCGCCTATATGAGAAGCACAGTAACCAGAGTGAAGATCGTCTAGTATCTCTCGTCCCTTTTCTGGAGTAACACACTTTAAGAAGGGTTGAAGGTACCCCCTTTTGTGAAGTTCTCCCTTTATCATTTCAAAACAGGTGGCTCGTTTTTTCAGTGCTCACCAGCCGGCTGAGGGTGGAACTCATCCGACCGCTCCTCTGCCAATGATTGCTATTTTCTTTCTTTTCTTGCGGCCCCTGTCTGGGATGCCTTTCTCTTCTTGCCGCCTGCTTCTTGAACAGGCGCACTCTCCTTGACATTGTCAAGGTCTGTTTTTCACCGCTTGACCCAGTGGCCATAACAGTGGGCTTGACATCCGAGAGATAGCACTCTTGTGCCATCCTCTGATCTCCCCTTAGCGAGCCGACTGTTCCATTATCCCTCTCAAACTTGAGCAACATAAGAGATGGGATTATAACAGCCTTGGAATTATTCAGGGTTGGTCGACCCAGAATCATGTTGTAGGCCGAGAGTTCTTCTACTACCAGGAATCGGACTATCATGTGTCGTCCTTCCCCTTTTTCGCCCAGGCGGATGGGTAAATCCACTCGTCCCAGTGGGTGGACGACTCCTCCAAACCCTACTAAAGGGTGGGAGGCCGGATGTATGCAATCAGTCTGATATTTTAGTTTCGACAGACATTTGCTACTGATGAGATCTGAGGAGCTTCCGGTATCTATGAGGAATCGGCCAACTCTCTGGTTGGCCACTTTACATTCAATAACGATAGGGTCGTCATGCGGCCCTCTTACCCCTCCTAGATCTTCTTCAGTGATGACAATCTCAGGAAATGAATATTTGGACGGCCGTTCTTGGTGAACGGAATTTACATCTAACCGCCTGATATTGTCTTTGTTGCCCCTAATAGTGGGGCCGCCTCCTGAGAAGCCGCCTGCAATGGTGTAGACGACTGCATCATCTGTATCGGAGCTGTCGGTCTGTTGATTCTTTTTGGCCGACTGCTTTTTTGAGGAAGTGTTCCCCGTAGATTTCTTGACATAAGTGTCAAGATCACCTTGCTCAGCCAGGCGGTCCAAATACCGCATGAGACTGATGCAGTCATTGGTGTGATAACCAACATCATCATGATAAGCACAGAATTTATCTTGGTTCCGGTTGTTTGCAGAACCCTTCATGGGGACCGGCTTCTCAATTGAGATCCGTCCCTTGATTTCTTTTAGGATAAACTGGTTATCTTTGTTAAACGCATACTTTGGGGAGTATGGTTTGAATTCTTTTTTCTTTTTCTGGGCCGGCTGTTTAGAGGAATCAGCCGCCCAGACCTCTTTTCTCTTCTCATCTTTGTTTGACGACTGTTTCTGTCGTCCTTCTCTTTTGTCGAACCTTTTCCCGTCCGACTGTTTTACCGTACAAAGATCAGTCGCCTGTATATAGGCTTCTGCTTCAATCAAGGCCTCTTGAAGAGTCGCCACCCTCTTTCGAACCAAATCAAATTTGAAGGTAGACCCGTCTTTGAGACCTCTGAAAAAGTCAGTATAGGCTACCTCATCCGGTAACCCTTGAATCTGTATTCTCATCAGGTTAAACCGCCTGATGTAAGAACGAAGCCCCTCCTTCTCGCCCTGCTGAATTGTTCCTAAATCAAGGGTCGTTTTCTTCGCAGGGATGTTCATGGCGAAGTTGGAGGTGAATAAGTAAGCAAGCGTCCTGAAGCTATTTACACAACCAGTCGGCAGGTTGCCGAACCATTGTTGTGCTATTCCTTTGAGAGTCGCTGGGAAACACTTGCACCAAGTGGGATCATCCAACCCTTGAAGGTACATCAGGTTGGTGAATGCCATCAGATGGTCTTCTGGGTTAGTAGTTCCGTCATAGGCGCCTACTAGTACATTTTTCACTTTGGCCGGCTGAGAGGCTTCAGTAATTTCCTTGGAGAAGGCCGACGGCTGTTCACCTAGTCTAAGCAACCGTAGCTGCCAGTCCATAGGTTGGACGTTTTTTGCTGCAGGTCCACCAAACGGAGGTGGCTGCAAAAAATACTGTTGTTGCGGCACAAATGGTAAGTTTGGTACCGCCTGGTCGCTATGAAAGCCGGACTGACGGGAGGTGCCGCCTGACTGACTCTCATGATACGACTGAGTATGCCTCACCGAGGCATTTCGCAGACTGTCTTGAATGTTTGAAGTAGAGGCCGACTCTGACAATCGGTCACTCTTCTTCTGCTCTAGCAGTAGCCGAGCGTCTGTGAATGTTTGCTTCGACCCGTCCGCCTGAATATGACGAACATGTTTCCTATTTCCTGTAGGAAAACGGAATTTTGTGAAATCAAGGGCAGGTGGCTCCCGCTTCCTAGATTTAGGATGAGGAGTCGCCTCTCGCCCTTGAACTGGCTTCCTCTTCAGTGAAGTTGAGGGTTTCTTAGCCGACTGCTCCTTGACTGGAGCAGGCGGCTTCTTGTTGATCAACTCTTGAATCTCTCCCTTGAAGTTCCTCATGAAGGTCATGAGTTCGTTCCTTGTGATGGAAGCAGACCCATCAGACGGCTGTTGCCGAACAGGCGGTGCGCCTGCTGGCTCACTTCCAGTTTGAAGATGTTCCCGTTCCCTCCTTTCGGTATGACGGGTACGTCGGGCCCTTAGGGTCCCGTCTGAAGCTGTGTGAGCTTCAACTTCAAATTCACTCTCGGTATCATGGTTCGACTGAACTTGAGGGTCGTCTAGGGGACGCCTCTCTTCAGGAGTCGGTACAGACTTGGATGCCATCTCAGAAGTACTCTCCCCACAGACGGCGTCAAATGTTTCGGGGTTTTCTGATGTCCTGCGGGAGAGTTACAATTCCGAGACTGGAACCGGACGCCTGTACCTGCAAAATAACGGAGACTCCTGGTGGTGGGAGCTCCGCCTCCAACGGTCAAGTTAGTACTTGATTAAGGAGTAATTAATGCGGAAATTAAAGTGACTGGGTCTCTCTAGGTGAGAGTGTTTAATGTAGGTAATCTGCTTTGTTAGCGAGATCAGCCGGTTATTACTGTGTGTAATTAATGTGTTTTTTCGTAATCCCCCTTAATGAGGATTAAGGGAGGTATTTATAACCTTGGGAAACGTGCCCATCCTAGGTTTAGGTTAACCTAGGGCTGATTGGGCTTCCCTCGGAAGTTGGGCCTGGGTGGCCGGTTTCTCCATTGGGCATGGAGTATGCCACATGTCATGACATAATAGGTCCAAGGTGGACGAATAAGCGCGTGCCACGTGGCAAGACCTGACAGTTCCAATTGGGGGACACTTGGCAGGACCTGATTGGCCCACGTGGCGCATTCCGATTGGTGGGAGCAAAATCCCCTAATCAATAATTATCTCTTCTTAATACTAAACACTTTGGTCCTCACACCCTCTTTTAACTCTTACCACTCTAATCTTTTAAAAAACACAACATTATATAGCCAATCAACTATTTACCTCTTAAAATCTTCTCTGAAAAGTTTATTATAAACACGTTTTGGGTATGTAGCATTTTTTTTCTTATTAAACGATGTTTGTTATTGGAAACAAGAAGTATAATGTAAATTTTTTTTTTTGTGCCTTTGATTGGCTAAATGTTAAAATAAAAATTTTAGGATAGTCTTTAACTTGCATTGCCTTGTCTTTACCTTATTTTTAAACCATCAAACACAAGACTTCAATAGTGTAGTTTGAGTTCTTTCTCATGGCGCACTTAGGAATGGGGTTTACACTTCAAGGTGCAAGGTGGTATGATGAGGTGTGTGCCTAATTGAAGTGGGGCCATTATCTTGCATTTGAAGTTAAAGTACATGTGAAGATGAAGATGTTGATTTCCATCAACAATTGAGTTGAAGATGTTGATTTCCTTCAAGTTAAAGTGATCGCATTCTTCAAAATAAAGGTTACTATATTTTAGAGGTGATTAAAATTGGACTGGGTTGGGTCTTAGTATAAAATCTCATGCCCAAACTTGCATAAAAGTGGCGAGTTTTTCCGTCCAAGTTCGGGTTTTTGACTAAAAATGTGTATTTTTTAGCCTGCTCAAACCCATACTTTTTTGTAGTTGATCACCTCTACTATATTCGAATTAGATTTGACCTTTTTCGGCCACACTTATGTTTTTTTCCTTTGTTTTCTCGATTTCAAAATTTCTTTGAAAATTCCTTATTATGTCTCTTGTTAGCTTACAATATTAAACGTTTTGCAGAAATTACTCTAATAAACACTTTGGAGTTTCCTCTAGATGTACAAAAACTTCTCTTGTTGAACAATTCTCTTAATAAAGAAGTTACGACTAGTGAAGCCTCGACATTTGCCATTTGTGCTTCTTCACTAAGGTTCGCCCAAACTAATTTTGATATCCACCATATTAAAGGAGGTGAATATGGCATAACAATTCCCTCTTATTGTAGGGTTTGTGATGCAAAAGTTTGCGAACAAGTCATGGATATTGAAGAGGAGGAGATGCTACGTTGCACACACTTCGAAAATGATGCTACTAAGGAGGGGGAAGTCCTACATAAGAACGCTCTGCACTTCGAATGTTTTGATATTAAGGAGGGAGAGGTGGTACATAGCAACGTTTCACACTCCAAAGGTTTTGGTTCCAAGGAGAGGGAAGCATTATGTGAGCACTATGAAGATTATGATCTTGAGGTGGGGGAGATACTAGGTGGCAATAATGAGCACTCTCAAGATTATGATATCGAAGAGGGGGAGATAATAGATAGCCATGCTTCTCACTCCAAAGAATTGACCTTTTCAAAGGTAACAAAGCAAAGGCAACCAATACAAACTTTGTATAGGAAGCTCACGGAGTGTCATGTGCCTAAAGAGAAGTTGAAAATTGAGGCGAATGATGTTCTTAATGAGGAGATTTTAAAAGAAAGCATTACATATCAAGATATTTGTAAAGAATATGTTGTAAAGATCCAAAAGCTTAAGAAAAATCTCGAGGATGAAAAGAATAAATTAGACGAGGTAGTTAAAAAGCATCGTCAACAAATGTGGAAGGTTGTGTGTGAGCTTGAGTCTACAAAAAAGGAGCTTCAAGGTAAGATCATTGAGCTTGCCAAGAAGACCGCTGAAGTTAAAATGGCCGAGAAACTTGCGACTAAGGAATGTAATAAGAAGGAAGCCTACAAGCTTAGGTTGAAAGCCTGTCGAAAGTGTCGTTATCATTAACCTAAAGTTGAATTGGGATGGCATTAAAAATGTGGGTAACTTAGTGTTCTTCAATATGAATAAAGATTAGATACAAAGTAGTAAATTTATGAAAACTAAGGTTTTGTTTGAAACCATATTAGTTCAAAGTAATATATTTCCATGTAAACCCTATGCTTGAAAGTTGATTGTGGTGTTAATAATTTTTAGCTAACATCCTTTTTGGTGTTTAGTGCTCATAAGCTACATGTCCCCCTTAATAGTTCTTGTGTTGTTTTTCGTCCTTGTTCCTTTGTTTATGTTTATGATACTCTTCATAGTTTCGAATAATATTGCTTATTTTTTTAAAACATCATATTCTTATGTGTTCATAACCTTTTCGCTTCTTTTGTTATACTCGATGTGGATATTAGGGCTAAAGAAAATGTGAAAAAATTGGGTAGGTGATAGAAAAAAGGGAATAAAGCAAGAAAGATAAAGTATAGTTTCCATTAGGGGTGAACATGGATCAGATATCCGATCTAAAACTGGGTTTCGATTCGGTTATCTACTTATCTGTATCCGAAAATTCCTATATTTCATATGCGTATCCGATTCGAAAAGATATCAGAATATTCGAAAATTTCCGATCGGATAGCTTAGTTATCCAATATCCGACCTTTTAATAATATTGAATAAATACTTATTTAATGGCATTTTTATTTATTTTTTAAAGGCAGATTGATATAGGGCCGTCTTGAACAATTTTGATGCCCTGTTCTAGTCTTAAAAATGGGCCTTAATACATATATATAAAAAATTATATATATATTATAAAAAAACCAACGTAAATTCGTACTATATATATTTCAAACTCTTTTATTAAACAAACTTATTAAAATAAATCAAACTCCTTTATCAAACTTATAAATTACATCTTAGTATCAAACTACTACTTAAAAAGAGCCATCCTTCTAACACTCAACCTCTAATTGCCCAGTTGAAGGTGATTTATCTAGTGTAAAAAATCTGCAATACAAAAAAATTCACTAATTAGCGGAAAAAATTACTTATCTCAATTTTAAAAAAAATGATTTATTAATTTAGGAAAAAAAAACGCATACCTTACTGCTTTTTCCAGATTTTGAGCAGTTGAACAGTGAAGATGAAAGCTTCCATTAATTTTCTCCAAGACTCCAACAATAAAATTGTATCAATCTTTCGGACAATTATAAAACTTTGCTGATTTGTAAGGCCAAATCAATCTAACTTTTTTTCCCTTAAGAACAAAATTGATCAATAATTTTTTATGAAAAGATAAAAATTTGGTAGGAGTATATATTGGATTGAAAATTTTAACCGTTGAAATGAAATTTAAATGAGGAAAAAATCGATTTAATTGCTCCATTATCAATTACAGAAATAAAAATGAAGAATATGGAAGGTTTGATATTTTTGTGGGAATTGCAAGAAAAGAGAGTAATTAGAGGGTTTTTTTTAAAAAAAAAATGGAGAAATTAAAGGAAGGTAAAGATTTGTAAAATGGAAAATTGAATCTTTTTGTTAAAATTTAGGAAGCTAAATTGACGGAGTAAACTAGGAGCATATTGTTGACTGCCAATCTGCCATTAAATATAGCTAAGGAGAAGGAAGTTTCTAGATTTGATTTTAATGCTTTTTTTTTTTTTTTTTTTTTAATGGCCCCTTTGGTTTTGGGGCCCTACGGAGGCCCAAAACCGGCCCTGGATTGATATATTTGCTGAATTGAACTATATTTCTGCAACAATTCTCTAAAAATAAATTAATTCATTGCAACTACTTTAACAAGAAGATCAAATAAACCAGAAATATAAAAAATCCAATAAGTAATTTTCACAAATTACAAAACAAATAAATTTTACACAAACTAATTACAAAACAAAGAAAAACAAACCTGCAAACTAATTGTCACAAAACACAAAACAAATAAATTTTAATTGTCATTCAGAAGAAGTTGAGAAGAGAAGCCGTTGTTGGTGCTGCAAGTTGGAAGCTTACGATATCCAATATTTGAAATCTGATATCCGATATCTAAAATCCGATATTCGATTTTTTTTCGGATATTGAATATCCGAAATTTAATATTTCGATATCCGATATGATCAAAAGAGTGGACAAAACGGATTACTTATGCATTTACAACTTAAAAAGCGACTAAAAGACCTAAAAGCAACTATGAAAGTAGCATAAACGTGTCTATAAATCCTATATAAATATGATTCATCACCGCCCACAGGTGAGAAGTAGGTAAAGATAAAAGTTTTGTACAAGCCAAACTGAATACAGAAGAGACGAGCAAAAAATACGTCATTAAACAATGAGAAAACTAGATCCGCACGATCCCGAGGCTGATTGCGTGACTTCCTATGCACTACCATTCAAAAGGATATATTCGCCAACACTCTTCGGGTTAGTCGTCTCGGGATCTTCCCCAAAAGGGGTTGAGGAAGTAGAGGGCTTAGCATTTTCTCTCTCGGCAGCCCGAATGTCAGCTTGGTTTAGAGCCTTTACTTCCTCGGCTCTAAACAATATGAAGCTCTAAAGTCGACATCCGGGTTGCTGATAGAGAAAAAGTTGTGCCCTCCACTTCCTCGGCCCCTTCTAGGGAAGATCTCGAGTTGACTATCCCCTAGAGTGTTGGCAAAGTTATCCTTCCGAATACTGGTGCATAGGAAGTCGTGTAGTCGTCCTCGGCCGACTGGGTGAGCCTCAGAATCGTGCAGATCTAGATTTTTCATTGTTTAATGTCGTACTTTTTGATTGTCTCTTCTGTATACAGTTTGCCTTGTACAAGAATTTATTTTTTTGCGTAGTTGTACCTTGGCAGCTGGTGTGGGCAGTGGTGAATCCTATTTATATAGGATTTAAGGGCACGTTTATGCTACTTTTCTAGTTTCTTTTAGTCGCTTTTTAAGTTGTAAATGCATAAGTTGTCCGTTTTGTGCTCTATTACGCTTCGTTTGTGTTTTCTTAATGTTTAGGTGATTTCATAATCATTTGGATGCTTTCGAAGTGTTTAGAGTTAATTTGAATGATATTTGGGCGGAAAGTCAATTCATCGAGTTCGTTGATAAAGGAGTCTATGTTCGTGGATGTTACTTTGAGGATTTTATGCACGGAGAATGAAATTATCTCTACGAGAGTCGTTATGCATCTTTCTGAAACAAATTTGAGTTAGAAATGAAGTTAAACGATGATTTAAGAAGTGGCAAAATTGACTCTTGTCCACTCTTTTGATCATAACTTGAGTTCTACTGATTAGATTAAAGTGATTCAAGTTGGTGTAAGAAAATGTGTATAAAGCTAAGTAAAGCTCAACTAAAACCAATTACTCCCTTTGTATTTTTTTTATGTGCTACACTAATTTTGGCACAAAGATTCAGGAGGGTTGGTTTGGAGAAAGTTTAATGTTGTGTAAATTAGGTTTATGAGGAATTCAAAATTATTGAAAAGTGATTGGGGGTAAGTAGTTTTTTCAAAGGTAAGAGATGTGATTGGAAAGAACCAACAAATTATGTATTAGTGGGGCCCATGTAAGGAGTGAAGGGAGAGAGTGGATACCCTAGTATTTAAAAATGCTACGTAGTAAATAGAATTAATTGTTGTCTCAATTCTGATGTACTATGTATCTTTTAATAAGAACTGAAAATTGGTACACTTGATTTCAAGTATCAAGGAGGTTCTTTGACTCATCTTAAAATCCCCATGAAATTTTTTCATGGTTCCATCAACTCCATGCCAATTGTTTCTGTAGCTACTAGTTGATTATGATTTTTTAATCTTTGATGTCTGTACTGTTAAAGTAATTTCTACTTAAGAAACCCTTGTGTATGCTTTTATTGGTTAGCAATTCCTGAAAGTGAGCAAGAGAACTAGATCTTCATTTTCAAAATAACTTGAGTCTAGGATTATCATGTCATCATCTAATAGGGTAAAACATTATCTCAAAGTTGGGACAATGAGTCTAGTTAATAACTTACATCACTTTATTTTATCAAACTTGAGTATTATTGTTTTCAAGTAACTACCTTCTCTTTGGCTATGGTATGTAAATTTTATATAAAACCTTTTCGAGCTAGGATTTTCTTTGCAAAACCAATAACTTCTTGGTCTTCTTCTCAAGGTGGATTATCGAGGCAGAGGATCTAGGTCTTTGCTTGGTGATCTTGGGCAGGGATGTGCTATGATTCTATGAGTTATGAAAAATGAGTCATCCAACTCTTTTTGTTTATACCCAAGTCTCTTCTAAAGAAGGCAACTTTATATAAATATAACATGATTTAGGTCTTTTTGCTTTCCAAATTCTCAGTTTTTTTTTTTTTTTTTTTTTAAATCTCTCCAATTGAGGAAGCCTTTTATTAATATGGCGTGGTAAATAATCTTGAAGCTATTTCTACTCTGAAATGACTGAGTTAAATAAATTGGTGCTATATGGTCACTTGATTCCAGCTATGGAACAACCATGAAAATGATATTTGGAAACCTTGATTCAAAGTGCTTGATGCTAGAGATCTGTCTTTTCTATCCTTCTAAGCTCATCTTTTCAATGCCTTTTAGTGATTAAATGTTTCTTCATCCTTCCTGTCCATATGCTACAAGATTTTCCTTAGCTTGATAGGTTTTACTGACCTAATTTATACAAGAAGAAGCTACAAGAAAATGCATTTCGCTTTCGTCGGATGAAGTCGCTTCTGCACAAAGAGAGGATGTCTTTGAAAGATAGCGACTTCTTATTTATATTGTTGGAAATCTACTTTGTTTTGTTAGTGGTTTTCTGCCGTTGGTCTGTCAAGGAATATTGGATTGTTGGGTTGATGCAGTCAGCTTTTGAAATCTAACAGGTTAGTAGAAAATTTCTAGCTTGGGGTGGATTCGGCAAAATCTGTTTCTTTGTAGTTAATTGCTGTCCATTGTTGATTTATATTATATTTAAGAAAGGTTAGTATGGACAACTATATATAAATAACAAATCCCAGATGTATCAAACTACTGATAGAGGATATAGGATCCATACTATGATTGATTAAACATGTACAAAACATTGTTTTAGTTTTATATGGTAACTGATTTTGTGTATTTTAGCAAGTAGCTCCTGCTGCCTGTATCATGCTGAGGGGTATTCAGGTCTTAAACACCTATAATAATGTTGCATTAACTTCCCAAGTGAGATACTAATTTCTGAGAATGGAATATATATATATATAGCTGAGATTCTGAATAATAGCCTTATGAACACCACCTGCCTGCTACTAGAGCTCAATGTCCGGAATTGATATGCTTGGCATCATACTCAAATAAGTAGCTGAATAAGGCTGTTTAGAGAACTAGTTCTCTGGTGAACCATAGGAGGGGGACAAATTGGTAATTCTACTTGAGGTAGGATCCATTGCCCTTCCTCTCTGTGGTTCAGAACTAGTTTTTCCGAACAGTTTTCTTCTATACGAGTGGCAGAGGGCATTATGGAACTATCTCATGTAGGTTTGCCCCTCTGATAGCTTAGAACAGGATCAAATTTGAATTTGTGCCCAATCTCATACATTTACGAGTTCAGTGATATGCTTGGAGTTGTGAATGGTATCAAGCGCTTTGGAAGAAAGCTCCGGAAAGGTCATTCAATACCTTTGATAAGATGAATTAAGTGGTGCGTGCCAATATAATGTGGTACCGCATTGCCTACATGCTGCAGCAATACATGTGGCTCTCAGGTTATATGTAAATTGGCTTGCCAAAGGGTGTGAATTTTGACAATTTTTGCTCTCATATTAAGAGCAAATTTGGCTCAATGCGATTAGGATGTTACGCAATCTAGGGAAGAAAAGCCAAATTCGGAAAGAGCTAATCTTTTTATGCTGCAGGAGAGAACAAGTCATCTGTAGGAATATACAAGTTTCTAATGCAACATGGTGGGATGTTGAACTGTGCTGTAAATTTCATTGGATTTGTGTATAAACGCATCTTTTGCAGATTATTCTAGTTCATGTTGCTATGATTTAGTATTGCACAAATCTAACATTGCATTTGTACTGTATTTATGGTTGTTAAAATGATGATGCTAGGAGACACATATATGTAACACATGTTTTTAGTAAAATGAATGTTGTAGGCACCTTAAATTATTCTGTCACGCTCTCGGAAAAAAAGAAAAAGAACAAAAAAATTGTTCTATGTCACGCTACCATTAATCGATGCACATCAGTGCGTGTGGAGTACGATAGAACATTACGTTTGTTTTATAAAGATATTAACACTAGTATGTTTACGGATATTAACACTACTATTTTTACGGTAATTTAGTTTCTGTGAGACTATATGAGAGTAACAAGTGGGGAAATGAGCGACCTATTATCAGTCTATCACCCAACAATGCAGTTAGACATTAATATACCGTAAGTGGTTAGTTGTGGTGTGCCATATTAGGGTTTATTCAATATAACATATGTCAAAAAAGAAATTAATTGTAAGTGGTAACTACATTAAACCGGATTAGAAAGAGAAAAATGTACCTTAGACGAAGTATATTGGAAGGGGTGTATAACTATCAAGTCACCTTTCGGGGATTCGTAGAAGGTTTCCCTGTGTTCGTGATGCAAGTTTTATATTACTCCACTGCATGCTAGTTTTTTCAATAATTGATGATAAGTGTAAAATATTTTCATGTGGTAATTCGAAAGCTCTGTGAACAATTATTACAATTTTATAGTACGGAGTATATGAATACACCAAGCTAAGCTTGACATAATGGTAAGGATTATTCCTTTAAAGGTTGGGAGAAACCTCCACATTGACTACTTTGAGAGTAGAGATCCCTAAGCTAGATGACAAAATCATCCACCAATTGATCCACAACCTACGCTTACCTACCCGTTAAGTGGTTTTAACCAAGTTTGCCTTGTAAAATGGGTTGTGTCAACCCGACCTAATGGCCACCTCCGTGTAACAAACAAATGGATCTTAGATAAGTTTGGAATAATATGCATATGATGTGATTATAGCTAGAGCTGGGCATGGGCCGTGTTGGCCTGCGGGCGACACGGGCACGGCACAATCCCCCCGGCGGCACGGCACGATGACCGAAGAGTGGGCCGTGGGCCGTGCCGTGAACAAAGTTTGGAAATTTCGGCACGAGCATGCGGACGGCACACCAATTCGGCCCGTGGCACGGCCTGCCAGCACGACATGGTTAAAACGGCTACTTTCCAACGTTAATATGCGCTAACAGCTATAAAACACTAGTTTTTTTATTTCTATTTCTATCGGCTAGTTTTTATTCCTAACAGTTACTTAATCTAATTCCCTAAAAATACATCACTTCACCATTCAATTTTTTCCACAATTCATATATCAACTCATCTATTCTCTTATTATATGCATTATTGCTTTTTGCTAAATAATAAAGATGTATAATAATAAAAAATAAAATTAATTATAATAATAAAAATAACATAAATAATAATAAAGATCTATAATAATAAAAATAAGAATAATAAAAAAGAACTATAATAATTTAATAATAAAAAAACATAAATTAATAAAATTATTTAAATAATATATTGATTTAAAAAATAATAAATTTATGTCGTTGCCAGGTTGGCACGGCACGCTAGGCATGTGGGTCGTGCCGTACCGTGTGTTGGGGTGTGCCAATTGGTGGCCCGGCACGACGCGACACGACCTACCACCAGGCACGGCTAGCGGCGGCCCGGCACAGCACGATGCCCAGATCTAATTATAGCCCTCAACCCATTTTAATAATTGTTGATGAACACCTCAACAAACTCATATGTGAGTGGAAGTGTTGTCTAACACTCCAACATTAAACAAATATAAAATGAAGCTCAGTGTTGGGATGTGTATACTACATGAAGAAACAAGAAAGTTGTGTTTACGTTATAAGGTTAAGGAACTCATTGTCAAATGATTTTGAAGTGGAATTACCTTGGACTTATGAAGTGGACATCAATGATTTTGAAGTGGAATCACCTTGGACTTATGAATTGGACACGAGAGTGAGGCCAACGCCCATTTGACAATAATTTTCTAGGCAATCTTTGATTCTTTGCAAATAATATAATAAAAGAAAAAAAAAATCCACTATTGAACACCTCTAGATTAGATAGATCTTATTAGTAAAATTACATAAGTAATAAAAGACTAAGAATAAGATAAATAGCATATTAGAGGACAAGTGATGCACGTAATTAATAATTATGCAACGTAAAACCCACACGAGACATAAAAAAAGCATATTGTAAAGTAATCATATGGTTTGCCACTTTCAAGAAATTGAGTACATTGGTTACGTATTATCATTAACTCATTTGTCAAATGTTTCTTTGCATTAGTGTCGGGCCTTGCAATGATTAATTACTATTTAGACGCATTCATATACTTCATTATACTACTACTACCTTAATGGATGTAACATTACGCAAATATGGCCATCTCTCAATATTCAACTTCAAATCGCAGAGTCTTATCTTTAAAAAACTTAAAGTACGACTAATATTATGCTTATTCATCCTTTGATAAGAAATGATGAGAGATTGGGTAATGATGATCGGAATTAGCCCATGATAATCTAAATTAAATTAATACTTCGTGATCAAGTTATTCTATTAGCGTATTACTTTAAAATAATACAATATATATTTAATTGATGAAACTTTTGATGTACAACCACATAATTTTCCATAATGGAAGGAAATAAAATTGAACAACATAATTTTTGGACACAAGTATGACGGTTTTTATACTTATCAAACTAAGATTAATGTATTTATATATGAACAAACCTATATTTTTCAAAAAAAAAATTCCAAGGCTAGTGAGGAATGAGAAATATAATTGTAGTGAGGATCGATTACAAAGCTAATGGATGACAATACACTTAACTTTCGTCAGCTTTGCATATACTTCATAGTTAAATGCATGGGGACTTGCCACCATTACAACTTAATTAAACTCCAAAGAGCAATGATTAAAGCAAAAATATGGTGATTTGTTGCGCCTGCTTTATTTGGTTTTGCTGAATTTAAGGACCTTCATATCTTTTTAATCCACTAAGACATTGTTTATTTACATAATCATGTTTGATGAAAGTGTTCCCGTTAATCATATGATATGATATACTCACCTTTAGCTACGAAGTATTTTATTCAATGTACCTAATTACCCTGGTCCAATGAGTTAATATGTACGAAGTATTTCAGTAAGTGATGGGCTCTTTAAAACTCTAATATTACAATTGATTGTAAAATAGAAATTGGTCGCCATGACTCAAATCCGAGACAAAGCAGGATCTAAGGCTAGCTACCTCTATACGCACAATTATGCATTAGGAAACATATTTAAACAATGCCACGGCTAATACAAATACGATATTATCAAACAATCAAATTCGCGAAACATAAAATATTATTCTTTTTGCACTCTGTACTGCAAAAATGCAAAGCTAAAACAAGTCATTAAACGAACGAATCACCTGTGCAGTCGTGCGCACAAACCAGGTCAAATGAGCGAGACAAAAGAAAACCATAAACCAAAACCTGCAAAAGCATATTCAATCATCAAACTAAACAATTACACAGCAGTTGCATAAAACTTTGCATATACCATTACCATTTTAAAGAAGAAAAAGGGCCCCAAATTTCTTACTTTAATCAGTAATAATGGCAGCAAATATGGCCATAAGTCATCAAGTATCTCGCCGCTCAATACTTTAAGACAGTCTTTATTTTTTACTCTTTCACTAGTTAAAAGCACGCTTAAAAGAGATATCACTGAAAATAAATTCTGGACAAAGTTGATTAATCTTTATTTCTGTCTTTTCGAGTCGATATATAGAATATATTACTCTGCTTTCATTCCTTGACTTTCACTATTGGTTCAAAGAATCAGGTTATATATATCACACTTCCCTGTAACATTCTTCATTATCCAGCTAGAGTTCTAGGTTAGACAACTACAATGAAAGGTAATTATGATATCTAATAGATAATGCGAGGATGGAACACTCGCTAGTGCTTCCATTCCTACCACCCTGCCTCCTCGAAGGCAGGGGTTCAATTCTTGGAGGGTGGGGGTGTTATAATGCACCCGGCAACCCAGGTGTACCTAGAGCTAGGTGCATATAAGGATATTTTTTTTTGCTCATTTGATGATTTTTGAAATGAGCAAATGTACATCTGAGGGTGCACCTTATACTAGATACACCTGGGTACATGCAAGAATTTTTGGGGTGCTATGGGTAGGTTATATTAGGGGGGTCCTGTAGGAGAAAGTTGCTGTGATTATACAAAAATAAATAAAAAAAATTAAAGCAATGATATCTAACAGCATTGTATAGGAAGGAAAATTTCATAATGTACTTTACCTGTTTTGTGGATGCAGAGATTAGTATGGAAGGCATGAAAAGCGTGGCAAATAAGCTTGCAAACATTGATGAACATGGTCCTGCAAAATGGCTGCCGACATCTGTACCTCCACCAGAGACTCCAACTGAGTCCATGGAATTTTTAGCAAGATCATGGAGTGTTTCAGCGACTGAGCTCTCCAAGGCCCTCTCTACCACCCATGTGACGCCAAAATTGACTGAGAAGACGGCATTTGATTTTCTTAAAGATGAACTGAAGCTGAATGTTGCAAATACTCATACCATCCTTCCAAATAATTATGTAATATCATCTTATCTAAACTCATCTGATAAAGGAACATTGGTATGTAGACGTTATATATAGATATAGCAATCATTCTTATGAATTTTGTTCTCTTTTGGCAGGAAGATCAACAACCCCATCGTGGAGAAAGTCCTCCAATTTCTCCAAGAGGTAGTGATGATACAAAGGTATATACTTCTAACTTCTTCAGTCCCATGCCTTCCATCATCTTGATTCCTTCAAATTATCATGATCAGAAAATGAAGTTCTATTATTTAGACACAGTAGAGAACTAAGAAACAACTTACTGTATGTACTAAATTCTTTAAGCGTCATGTAGGAGAGGGTGAAAGCTTAAGAGTGATTACATGTCTTACACAGTTATGCAAAAGAGAGCGAGAGAGACAAAGAACATGCAACTATGCCAGTGCTTGAAAAATTCATCTACTTTAAATTTGTTTATTCCATATTTCTACTCAATATATATCATAAAATGTAGAGATGAAATAATTCATTGCGTATTAATTAGGGTGATTGAAAAACCAGACCTTTCAGCTTTCTAATGTTTACATGGATTTTGGTGATCAGCTAATCCTGTTTACTCGTCACCTCACCTATATCTGACATGGGTCTAATTTGGCTAGGAACTCTTCTTACTTCATCAAGCACTTCACCCTGATTTTCTATCCAATCAACAGCTGTTAAGAAGTGGGGTAATTAAAAATCTACATCCTTTCGATCTGGTATTAAATTTAAGTTGCTAATTTTGCAAACATAACAGCAACTATTAAATACATGTTATAATTATGCAGCTATGCAAAAGCATAATAAAAGGGAGAACAATGGGGAGACGGATGAAGGATCAAAGGGAGAGAAAGAAGCATGAAATAAGAACTCACAATGCACAGCTACATGCTGCAGTGTCAGTAGCAGGTGTGGCTGCTGCTGTTGCGGCTTTAACAGCCTCAAATGCAACACCAACCGAGGCATCATCCGGACAACCAAAGGCACCAATAAGACCAACTACTGCGGGTACTGCCGTTGCATCTGCTGCTGCACTAGTAGCATCCCATTGCATTGAGATAGCAGAGGATATGGGGGCTGATCAACATCAGATTCTTACAGCTGTTAATTCTGCAATAAATGCAAGGACTAATGGAGATATCATGACTTTAACAGCAGGAGCAGCTACTGGTATAGTAATACTTACACAAACTATCTAATGTGGTATATTTGAACTAAAAAAAAAAAGCATAACCAATACATGCCACTATATAATAAGAAAATATCTATAAATTCCTACTTCCAATCCTAAACACTCCATAAGAAAATTTATTGAAAAATTCTAATCACACTATGCAGCGCTAAGAGGAGCTGCAACCTTGAAGGCAAGGCTACACAAAGGGTATGGAGCACCAGGTCTTGCTCTAAGTGAGGAGCAGTCTGAAGATGGCACAGAATCAAACTCAATGACCGCCATGAACTTTGTGATGCAGGGTGGAGAACTTCTGAAACGTACCAGAAAAGGTGATATAGTAACTACTGAGTCAGTCATAGGCAATGTCCCGGTGAAGAGTGGCTAACTTTTTGTAAATGTTTGACCCCAGGTGATTTACACTGGAAGCAAGTCTCTTTCAGCATAAATTCAACATTAGAGGTAGAACAAATTGTTAATATTTTTTTTTCCCCCACTTTTAAAGGAAAGACAGTATAATGCTTTGGTTTTCAACTATATTAAGTAAATAACATAGCATATAAGCAGATAACTAAATCTTTTGTGCTAAGCAGATAGTAGTAAAACTAAAAAGCACACATATAGCAGGGGCTTTCACGAAAAAGAAGAAATGTAAGCAACTGATTTCCTCCTCCTTTATTAGCACTCAATATGAGCAATATCTTGCTCACCTTTGTCATGTCTGAATTTAACTAGTGACATCGTTTCAGCAGTTACAGTATCTGGAGTATATTCTGATGTTTTAGCATGGTCTGGAAGAGAGCGAGAAGACAACAGCGAGCAGAAGGCTTACTTTGGGATACAAACAGCTGACAGGGTCATAGAATTTGAATGTAAAAACAAAGGCGAAAAACAAATGTGGACTGATGGGATCCAAAATTTGCTGAATTGCCGCATTAGCATGTAATTACAAACTACTGTAAGTGTAAGAGTTATGTTGCAGGTTGGCTGGTATAAAATCTGAAATTTCTTTCACAAGTGCATAATGAAAAAAGTTTCCTGATAAAATCTCATGTCATTTATAAAGAAACTTAAATTTACAACATACAGCAATCTTTGACATGATGCTCATACAGATAATTTCCAAGCATCAGAATTGAAAATTGTACCATCTCCATATTACAGAAAGATGGAGAAGCAGCAGCCCTTGGTCACTCAAGTTCCTTAAGAAAATCCTTGTTGTCAACAAATACCTGCAGAAATCACATTTGCAAAAACGTAAAACTGACATCATATAATTGTTCAAGTTCATACAGAATTGTTTAACAGACACTAAAAAAATTAGAAATTGAAGGGCGAATCCACATTTGTGAAAGGAAAGTCACAAATTCCATCACAGTACATCTCATATTCTCATGTTGACAACGATTACTCTATCCTGCTTTATGTAATATGTTTATATTGGGATGAAGCAAATAATACAGCGAAGTGCAAGAAGAAACAACAAAACTGTTAATACTTTCCATATCCCCACCCCCCTCTTTTTTTTTTAAAAAAAAAATGTATCTTAAGAATATTTCTATTTATCAGCAGTTGAAGTAATGTCACACTAAATCCACGCTTCAGGCAGCTTTTGGAAAGCTAAAGTACTAAACTGTTGAGGAACTGGAACTCTGCAGGCGCATAAGGGTAATATTATTGACTTAATGTCTATGTTTTGCTAGTGTCTCAAATTAGTATAAAGGGAAAATTAAAAAATACAGTTTCATCCTCCGAAGTCCAAATGCACAAAGCCTCACGCATTCAGGAGACACTCACTTAGCATCATAAGACCCAAAGAAGTTCACCCAACAAAACTAGATCTTTATAAATAAAATTAAGCCAATGTGACATGACTAGCAGTCTACTTGGTTGGCATTTGCACCTTATTTATTCCAGCTTCCTAAAATTATAAAGCTTAAACTCCACAACGGAGGCATGGTGGCCTATCAACTCCTCTAATTTAATAGGTGCTGGCCTGCAGCTTGGAGATTACTGTATCAAAAACTTACTAATACAATGCATTTAAGGAACTTTCCGGTGTTGCTTCAATCACAATGTAACAATTTAGAACTTCAAATTTTCATAAGGCTAATTAAAAATCTCCCTATACCATGAAATTGCCACCAAGAGGAAAAATCATGAAATTTAAAGCTAAATAAAAATAAAATTAAGCCGTTTCATGATTAGAGAAATCAGATCATACCGTCTTCCAGCCATCAGGATCCAAGCAAGTAGTTATCTTGGTATTTAATCCAGGCAATGGGCCTGGATCGAGTACAATTTTCCCTCCATTAAGTTTAACTGCCTCAGCTGTTTTATATACATTGTCTGTTCCAATAGCAATCTGAAAGAAAATAAATAAATAATTCACACATATGAAAGTTAAAGCCAAGGAAACTAGAGTAGAAGCAGATACCATACTTCAAGTCCAAGTTCATCAAGATCAGAAGTTTACCTGTGCATAACCATTTCCTTTGTCATACTCTTTGACTCCATAATTGTATGTTAACTCCAGAACAGCATTGTTATTCTCTGGACCATAACCCATTATAGCTGTTGTGTACTGGAAAACATCATTTTTCAGTCAGCAAAGAGGTTTAACATACAATACCAATCAATAAATTTAAAAAATAATACACCACAATGAGTCAATGACACATCAAGAATGATGAGATAGCACTAAAAGCCACTCTTTTCCATTGCTGGATCCTAAGATATCTTAACTACTTCCTTGAAACTTAGAATTTATCTGAATAGATTAGGTTCCAAGCTATTCAGTTCACTATGAGCCAAAAGTCAGCTTCCTGAAATGGTCAAGCCATTTTTTCAACGCTAATGCTTCTAAAGAGACTCTTTCCCTAGGTGGGAATTCACTACAAGAAAACAACTTATTTACAACGGAAAAATTCCGTCGAATACTTATGAAAATGTTATAGGACTGTCCATTGCAACGTATGAGTCCCACATCGGTCATATGGGGGGCTGATGTAGGGTTTATACAAAACAATGGGCTCTCCTCCCCTTGAGCTAGCTATTGGGGATGGCTCTCCTATTGTCTTGTATCAATGGTATCAGAGCCAACCTTGGAGTGGTGGCCCATGGAGTTGGTGGCCTGGAGAAAGCCAAGTCGTGACCAAATGTGGCCGTGACCAACGAGGACGTTGGTCCTTAAGGAGGGACGAATGTTATAGGACTGTCCGTTGTAAGGTATGGGACTCGAGTCCCACATCGGTCATATGGGGGGGCTGATGTGGGGTTTATATAGGACAATGGGCTCTCCTCCCCTTGAGCTAGCTTTTGGGGATGGCTTTCCTATTGTCCTGTATTAGAAAATCCGTCAAAAGCCAGCTTTCCTGTCGTAAATTGTCTGTTGTTGGAAAATCAAATCCGTGGGAAAACGTATTTCCGACAGATTCTTTTCTGTCAGACCCAGATTAGCCCTGACATATAATTCCGTCGCAAAGTTCCGACGCCATGGGATCTGTCAAAACTGAACATATTTCCGATGGATATTTATTCTGCCGGAAATGTAATGACGAAATTCTGTGTAATTTTTCTGTCACAAATTTCCGATGGAAATAAAATCTATCGGAAATACATACAATTCCGACAGAAAAATCTATCGGAAATGGTTGTTTTCCTACGGATTTAAACTTAATTTCCGACAGATTTTTTTTTCGTTTCATGTTTTTAATCACCATAAATACCTGCACCTATTTTTGGCCTTAATTGAAAAGAATTTCATGAATAAAGCAAAATACGCTTTTTAAATTACTACGTAAATTATGTACGGGCAAAATACATAATTTGAAGTTACTACATGTTAATACCAGTACAACAAACATACACCTAATCAAAGATAATAACAAAAGCTATGCTACATAAGAGTTGGGGTACCTGCTAGCTCCACAGCCACCCCTGTCGTCCCTAAGGTCTCGATGCTGAGGACGGATGGTAGAACAAGTGCCGAAATTGGTGAAGCAACTCATCATCTCATCCATCGTCTCCTCGTTTCTCTTCTCAATTTCGGCCACCCGGGCATCGAATTGAGTTTCCAATCAGCTTTCCATCTCATAACCGCACCCTATGTTCAAACTGATCCTACATTTGAGAAACAATCAAACACATGTATTGTTGTGAAGAACCGAAAACTCGACCCATTCGATTGACGTAGTACAGCTCTGCTTTTTGGCCAAGTCCCTTAACACGGCCCTTCTTACTACGCCCACCAACCGTTTGCCAATACAACTCTTTTGGACTCATCTGAATCCCTTAACTGCTTGCTTCTTCAACTTTCTTTAGGTACATCTCCTACAACATATAAATGATATGCACAAATAATCTTAAAAACAACCACCAACAACATAACTTAAAGGTTCATATTCATGGAAAATCAAGCAAATTTGGCGAAAATGAATTCTACTTTGCCTAATTTTCTCATTTCTTATCAAATGAACCCATTCTAGCTCATAACACACCAATATTAGTTAGTTTTAGGTGTCTAAGGTTTGAAATCACATGTAAGGTGCAATAAACTAAGTTTTAGGGTCATTTTCATCCAAATTGAAGCAAATAAGGCCAAAATGACTTCTACTTTGCCTATTTTTCTCATTTCTTATCAAATGAACTTATTCTAGCTCATAACACACCAATATTAGCTAGTTTTAGATGTTTAAAGTTTGAAATCACATGTAAGGTGCAAGTAACTAAGTTTTAGGGTCATTTTCATCCAAATTGAAGCAACTAAGGCTAAAATGACTTCTAGTTTGCCTATTTTCCACATATGCCAAGATTATATGTAAAATTTCATTTTATTTAAGTTGTTACTCCAATCTGCTTGGATTTGGTGTTCCCAGGCACTTTGCCTTTCCCAAGCACGTCCTTGAAGTGTGTCTTCGAGAAAAGGTCAGGAGCAGTTGGTATCTGGCCTTGATTCTTCGCTGCCTTTGAATGTCCATGCTGAATATCCATATTAATATGTCATACCAACCTTGAACCACAATACAAATATTCCTTGTATTTTACTATTATGTTAAACAAACTTACCATTCTTTTTGCATGTTGTACAGCTGAGATAAAATCTTACAAGTGGGTCGGTTCAACCACATTTTCTATGAAACTGCCTCTTATGTTCAATTTTTTATGTGGAGACCGCTTTTTATGCGTCTCATCTTTGGCTGGAATTTCCATTATTCTCTTGTGGACGTCTTCCCTGATCCAGCTTGGCTTGACCCCATTCGTCTTTGTGTAACTGTGTAGAACATGTCACATAGGCGATTTTCGACCCCGTATTCGAAGTTATGCTTAAGTGCCTACACTAAGTCACAAACACAGCTTCAGGGGCAAGACGTATGAGCATGGAGGTAGCTCAAACGCGTCAGTTTTCCCAATTTTAGACCCAACTACGCTATGGTACGTCATACGCTGAACAAGTTTTAGGCCCAACTACGCTATGGTATGTTATAGTGTAGTTGGGTCTAAAACTGGCAAATCGAACGCATTTAGGCTACTTCCATGCCCATATGTCGTCGTAGTATGCGAATGCTCTTGCCCCTGAAGCTATGTCTGTGACTGGGTGTTAGGCATTTACGTGTAACTTCGAATTCTATACAGTCACACGGAAAATGAATGAGATCAAGCCAAGATGGACCAATGAAAACATCCACAAGATAATGAATGATGTCAATGAGGTGGGGCGGGGCGGGGCGGATGTTGGCCTTCCCATCCCCATCCCCATCCCCACCTAATATTTTCATCCCTATCCCAATCCCCACGACTGGTTTAAAATTCATCCCCACTTCAACGGGTACAATTCCAAAATTATCCGCGCGCCGCACCCCCTACTTGGATATCCACCTCTACCTAAAACCTGCCTAATCCCAAAAAATCATTGTTAAGATTACACACTTTTTGTTTATAATATAAGTGTATTACAAAGTATTATATTTACTATTTTATTTTACATAATTATTTAATAAAATAGTATAAAAGTATATAGTTTTGTTTTAAAAAATATATATAGATGTGGGTATGGGGCGGGTACAACTAAAATCCATCCCTTCACCCGTGGCGGTAAGGGTGTCCATTCGGTTTTCGGTTTGGGTTTAGTCCAAATCCGATCCAATTCGAAATATAATTCGGTTTTCAATTTTCCAATCCGATCCGATCCGAATTTCTCTCTTGATCCAATCCGATCCAATCCGAATTACAATTCGGTTATTTGGATCCGATCCGAAAATCCGAATTATAATACATTATTTTTTTAGCGCCTAATACAATTATAAAAATAAAGCTTTACTATAAATAAAAGTCTTCAAAAACATGATTAAAATACACAGTTCAACGTCAAGTCATTAATTAATTAATACAAAGTCTCTCTAATTTATTTTATGTAGTATCAAGTATTTGAGTTAAACTTCAAAATATACAGAAATCCATATTTATACAAGCTTAATTTTACAATTCGGTTTTCGGTTTGGATTGGATCCAATTAGGGTTAATCCGATCCAATCCGAAAATCCGAATTTCCAAAAAATCTCAATCCGATCCGATCCGATTTAAAGTTCGGATCCGATCCGAATTGATAATTCGGTTTGGATTGGATTGGATTTCGGTTTTTATCCGAATTATGGACACCCCTACATGGCGGGTATGGTTTTTATCACCATCCCCGCCCCACCACGCGACAAACTGAGACCCATCCCCGCCTCACTAGGGCGGGGCTGGGACAGGTCTCCTACTTGACCCGCCCCACTGGCATCCCTCAAAATTATAGAAATTCCAGCCAAAGATGAGACGCATAAGAACCGGTCTCCACATAACAAATTGAACAAAAGAGGCGGTTCCATGGAAAATGTGGTTGAACCGACCCACTTTCAAGGTTCTATCTCAGCTGTACAACATGCGAAAAGGATGGTAAGTTTGTTAAACATACTAGTAAAATACAAGGAATATCTATATTATGGTCCAAGGTTGGTATGACATGTTAATATGGATTTTCTGCATGGACATTCAAAGGCGGCGAAGAATCAAGGCCAGATACCAACTGCTCCTGACCTTTTCTTGAAGACACACTTCAAGGACGTGCTTGGGAAAGGCAAAGTGCCTGCCAACACCAAATCCAAGCAAATTGCGGTAACAACTTATATAAAATGAATTTTACAATATTCTTAGCATATGTGAAAAATAGGCTAACTAGAAGTCATTTTGGCCTTAGTTGCTTCAATTTGGATGAAAATGACCCTAAAACTTAGTTAGTTGCACCTTACAAGTGATTTCAAACTTTAGACACTTAAATTTAGCTAATATTGGTATGGTATGAGTAAGAATAAATTCATTTGATAAGAGATGTGAAAAATAGGCAAAGTAGAAGTCATTTTGGCCTTATTTGCTTGATTTTGGATGAAAATGACCCTAAAACTTAGTTACTTGCACCTTACATGTGATTTCAAACCTTAGACACCTAAAACTAGCTAATATTGGTGTGTTATGGCAAGAATGAGTTCATTTGACAAGAAATGAGAAAAATAGGCAAAGTAGAAGTTATTTTCGCCAAATTTGCTTGATTTTCCATGAATATTAACCTTAAAGTTATGTTGTTGGTAGTTGTTTTTAAGATTATTTGTGCATATCATCTATATGTTGTAGGGTATGTACCAAAAGAAAGTTGAAGAAGCAAGCAGTCAAGAGATTTGATGGGTCCGAATGAGTTGTATTGGGAGACGGTGGGTGGGCGCAGTAAGAATGGTCGTGTTAAGGGACCTCGCCAAAGTGCAGAGTTGTACTAGGCCAACCGAATGGGTCGAGTTTCCCGTTCTTCACTGCAATACACGCCTTCAATTGTTTTTCAGATGCAGGATCAATTTGAGCATAGGGTACAGGCTATGCGGACTGAAATAGAGGTTGAGATGGAAAGCCGATTGAAAACTCGATTGGAAGTCCGGATGGCCGAAATCGAGAGGAGAAACAAGGAGATGATGGATGAGATGATGAGTCGCTTCACCAACCCCGACACTTGTTCTACCATTCTTCCTGAACATCGAGACCCCGGGGACGACGAAGGGTAGTCGCGGAGCTGGGTAAGGTACCTCAACTCTTGTGTAAAATAGCTTATGTTATTATCTTTGGTTATATGTATGTTGTTGTACTGGTATTCACATGTAGTAACTCCTGATTATGTATTTTGCCCGTACATAATTTACATATTAATTTTAAAAGCGTATTTTGCTTAATTAATGAATTTCTTTTCAATTAAGGCAAAAATAGGTGCATGTATTTATGGTCATTAAAAAACATAAAACAAAAAAAACAAAAAAAAAAAAAAATCCGTAGGAAAACAACCGTTTCCGACGGATTTTTCCATCGGAAATTTGCGACACAAAAATTACACAGAATCCCGTCGCAACATTTATGGTGGAATCAATATCCATCGGAAATATGTCCAACGGAATAACCCATCGGAAATATCTCCGACGGAAATATCTGTCGGAACTGGAGATAGTTCCGACGGAGACGGAACTTCGCGACGGGATTACATGTCAGGACTAATTTGGGTCCAACGATTTTTCATCGGAAAATGTTGATTTTCCGACAAAGTGGTTTACGACAGACAATTTACGTCGGAATCCCGTCGAAAAGCTGGTTTCTGACGGATTTTCTTAAGTTTCTGACAGCATTTTTCCGTCGTAAATAAGCTGTTTTCTTGTAGTGGAAGAGGAAGCCAGGCTACGCAGCCTTACCCCTGCAACGAATAATAACAAGGCTGTTTCAAGTTGACACCTGGACACCTTAAAAATCCTTGAGAGCTATGAAGATTTAAATGTGCTGGCAGAAAGTTTGAGCATAGAACTCACGAGTCCATCACATAGACACTGATGCTTTTTACAGGCTCACTTCTTTGCACAAGAGGCCAAAGCTCTAGAGACAGAAAAGACAGTACCAAATACCCTTTTACCTCATCATCGTCCCATAAAGCAATGTTTTATAATGAAGCAAGTCACTGAAAAATACTAAACCAGCCCTTTCCACTCCACCATACGGTAACAAAAGAAAACTTTCCCCATCTGATTTATACCTAATGAGGCAATGGTTTTTTTTACCTTGTGCTCAGGAAAATCCATCTTGCGGAATAGCTCCATGCCATATGCCTTCAAACTCAAAGAAAGCGCACAACAAATGAACAATCAGACATGCAGCAGGTAAAAAACACCCCCTGATGGCCAAAAAACCAGCCATTGAGTCAATGTTACCTTTTTATAGAAACTAATGGCACGATTAATATCTCCAACTCTAAGCATCACCTTGCAAAGGGGATCTAATGTAGATGCCCTTTCCAATAGCTCAAACTTATAACCATCTGGATCTTCTATAAAAGCAATAATGGAACTTTCACCTTTAGCTGGACCAGGTTCCCTTGTGACCTTTCCACCCTTTGCCTTAACAAGATCCACTGTTTTAGCAACCTACAGCAAAATAATATCCTAAAAAACTGGCCATATTCTCATAATAGCATGCACATTTAAACAAAAACTGAAGTTTCAAATATTCAAAAGGACGTCTACAAGGAAAAAAGTCCAAAATGAAAACGAAAATTGAAATGTGACATGTTAAGAGAAAAAGGCTACACGGAAAGCTAGAATCTTGCAAAAAGATCAGTAATAATCCTTCTCAGTCAAATTGAACAAATGCGTTCACTATACTATATCTGGTGCACATGATTACAGGAAGATGTACAAGAAGGCTCATGATAACTAAAAACAAAAATAAAACTTCATCTCATATTTAAGTTAGCATATTCTATTTTGGGACGTCCCATGAGTAAATTTTCTCTCTACGTTTTCTATTAAATTGGGCCCACTCACCGACCACTTAATTTCTTTACTTTTCTGCAAACTACATGGTACACCCAGGTGCACAATGCTCATGGTGCGCTCGATCAAAAACAGCTATCTATGTTCTTTGAATTTGAACTATACACTCTTGTGGTTTATGCAACATGCTCTTTTACAGAATGTTGAGGTATTCTATTCGTATGAAGTGGGTGCTCTTTATATAGTTCTTTGTATATTTCCCTCATGTTCTATTGAGAAGGGAGGTGTGCACCTTTAAGATTGATCGAGCTATAGTTTAAGAACAGGTGCACACAAACCAAGCAATTCTACTCTTCACTCTCCGTAATCTCCATTCTCCATGCAGAAAGTAGATGTTAACCAAAATAAGAGGTTGAGACCATATATAAGATATCAACCCAAAAGTTAAGAAAAGAAGGTAGGGCCTAGGGGAATTGCAAGCTCTCAAACAAGCAAAGCGACTTTCAGGAAATATTAGACATGAATTGATTGTATCAGAAATTCTGGAAGGATATAATTTCTCCATCTAAAACAAGTTTCCAACTTTACCAAGATTATTCTAAAGTGTGACATTGGATATAGTTTCTACTTACCTCAGAAGATACTCTGCACTACATAGTAATCTATAGCGTTAAGTGCTGAAAAATCTAAGAAATTCAAGGAAACTCACATCCTCAACCGCAACACCAAAGTGACCAAAACCAGCCCCAATGTCATATTTGTCAACTCCATAGTCTGCAATCATTAATTTAATGATAACACCTTATCATGTAAGAAGCACTTCACATAGCAAAGAAATAAAGTAACCGCATGGAAGGTAAGGTAAATCAACTAAAATAATAGGCCTGGGTGTTCATGGTATTGGAAATAAATGGAGTTAAAGCCAGATAGCTTACTGTATGTAAGTTCAACAGTAAAGTGTGACTCTTCAGGTCCATAACCAAGAAACGCATTTGAATACTTCTCCTCTGGAATGTCTCTTTTCCGTAATAACTTCATGCCAAGGCACTCCGTATAGAATCTACAGGCTTCCCACACAAATAAGTCATCTGCTTCATAATGAGCAAATCTTAAAATCGCAGATGTTAAAAGTTGGAAATTTACTTTATAGTCTTATCTAAATCCCCGACACGATAGACAGCATGAAGTAATCTTCTCTTGTCATTTTTAGCCCACTCCACAGCATATTCCTCGGTGACAGAAGGTCTTGCTTCAGCTATATTACCGACTGTACCAGCCTCCAGTATATTCTTTTCTGGCCTTGGCAGTGTAGATTCCTTAAGACCAACCAACTGCGGCTGTGAGACAGCTGTAGAGCACGAAATATGTATTAGTGCAAACTTGATACTAACTTCAAGAGATCAATATCATTTCCTCCCACATTTTTCAACAAATTTCCTCCTAACCAACAACATTTCCCAAAAGAATACACAAACTTTAAACATCCAAAACTCCTGGCAGCACCACATCAAACAACAACAACTTCTGCAGATACCAAAGTACAGTTTTCCCACCTAAACCATTCTCCGGTAAGAAATTCATTGTCATAGAGAATGGACAAGAGCTTGCTTCAAAATTTCCAGATACACTTGGGGTTTCATCCCATCACCCCTTAGTTGTGAAATTCCTCATTAGGATTCAAAAATTTATATCAATTTTTATGTGATCGTAGGCTTCAAATTCTTTCTTTAACGTCTCTCAACGCTACTTTATAAGATTCACAAGCCATCATGCTTGTAAAAATCCTTCCAACAGAATCAAAAAGAAGCATCTAACTATACAATGGATTCAACTACAATTCAAAAATTGCAACAACTGAATGACATGATTTTTTTAATTTTTTTTAATCGCACAATCCTCGAAACAAACATTTTAAGTTTTTAACAATCGAACGCCACCCTACAACTTTAAAACAATAGCGTGATTCTATCCTATCTTATAAACATTTGTCAATTAATCCTCTACAGTACATCAATAAAAAAAAATAATAATAATAAAAAAATAAAAAAAATAGTAACAATAAAATAATAACTTATGGAAATAGATTTTGTTACTCGTATAAGTTTAGCAATGATATTATTTCCATTTTATTTCTTCAAAAAATAAACTCTGCAAAAATGTACTTCTAATAATGAAAATCAGCAAAAATTAACAAATACTGAGTATTGTGAGTAAAATCAAACGTGTCATAAAATTATTTCAAAAAAGAAGCATTATATCTAAATTATCATCAATTAGGCCCTAAAATTACAAAACCAATTATTTCAGCATGAAAAACATGATTATAGTTTCTTATCAACTAAATAAAACAATCAAACATTAAAAAAAAAAATCAAAAAATCAAAATTCGAAATGTATTTAGACAAATATCATCGATGCATATGAAATTCCAGTAAGAAAGAGGAAATAGAGATAATTACCAGCACCGAAGTGAAGGAGAGAGAGGCGACGAGAAATATAGGAGGAGAGAGAAAATGCGACGCGAGAATGAGAAGCGAGAATCCTTGTGTTGGAGAATGTTGAAGAGAGAGACTTTTGAAGTGGAGGTGCGAATGAGAGTGGAGAAGACGACGCCATTGTTGCTGTGTACTGTTAATTTCTGTCTCTGCAACAGATTTTTTTGGCGCTTCTTATCCTTGGTTTGGTTCTCCGTCTTGAGTATCGACCGTGACACTTAGCCAGTGGGTCTAAAACTTTATCGAGCCCAGCCCGACCAAATATCTATGGCAGTAGTTAATGGCTGAGGTCGCGTTTGGCCAACATTGGCTGAGGCCGCCGCCTACTATTACAGAAACGAATATCTTCTAACTGAACATATTTTACAATAATTTTGTATTTCTCAATAACTAAATATTCATTTTCAAGCAGTATGATGTTTCTTTTTTATAAAATAAATGTTCATTTAATGTTGTATGATGTTCATTTTTATAAAAATAAATGGTCATTTTATTTTTTAATTAATACTCCGTATATAATTTTGTGTTTGTTCAGTTGTATAAAATATTCGTTTTTATAATAAAGGATGTTCAATTAACATTAGCATTAATAATGTTTGACATTAGCATTTTGTTCATTATTAAAAAAACATATTGTTGATTTATTTAATTGGTATTAAATCATATAGCTCAATTGAAAGATAACATCATATGTTCATTTTTATTTACAACTGAAATGTTTATTTATATAATATTAAATGTACAATTTTTTTTTTTCAATTTCATAATCTCTTTATTTTACTCATATTATAAATGTTCATTTTTATACAATGTAATGTTTAGAAATAAATGTTCATTTTTTTTTCTAGTAAATGTTCATTTGCTCGGCGTGACCTCGGCCAAAAATTTGCGTATCAATGGGTCACGCTGGATCGGGCCTGAAATTGCAAAAACATGGCCAAGCCCATGGGACTTTGTGGGCATGTCGAAAGCCCATGGTCCCACGAGCTATCCTCAATTAATTTAGTACTCCCTCCCTCCCTTAATACAAAATCTCATTTCCTTTTTGAGTAAATCAAAATACAATGATTCTTTTTATTTTAAGCTATAATTTTTTACCAAAATAACCTCATCTCTCATTTTTAATCCCTTATTTGCCCCTTAAAATTGGTGAGGTGTCCGTTTTATTTTTTGGAAGACTGAGCTAATACTTTAGGCATTAAATGCCTCAACCGATACTATTTACTCTCTCTCCTCACATTTCCACAAATTTCTGGATCCTTCATCTCACTTTTACTCTCTAAACTCATCTTCATCCTCCCTTCATCTCTTAGATTATTGCTTTGTGATTCAATTTTTTTTGCCAAAAAATTCTATACAATCCTCACAATAGTCCCCTAAATTAAACCCCTCGATCAATTTGATTTTTTTTATTATTTTTCCGTTTAATTTGAGTGGATCTGCGATTTTACAAGCTTTATTTTCTCTCTTTAGTGGAAAATTGCTATCTGGATTTTTTTTTCCTTCGTACTCCTTCCTTTGTCACTTTGATTTTGCACTGTCACGAGAAATCCCCTTTTGGTTGATTTGGCGGGACTTTAGAAATTTTCAGATTTCTTTTGGCTGTCTTTAGACGAATCTGTGTATTGTCAAACAATTAATTTGATTGGTCCTTTTTATTTTCATTAAATGAATGTTATTGGTGTACTTAAAATGTTATGGATTGCTGACATATCACTTAATTGGTGCATGTACAACTTTTTTCCTCTCTCTTTTTCTGATCAGTATTTAATGAAGCTATCCACTTCACTTGCACTTCCAATTATTGAGTTTAAGTAATCAGATTTTTCCCTAATTCTCCTGCAAAAAACAAAAGGGACTTTGTATTAAAGGACGGAGGGAGTAATTTATAGGCTTTGTGAATTATGATTTATACTCTGAATTGGCCACGTATGCTATGAAATGATGAAGGATGGTTGGCTATAAAATCTACTTTGTTACTCCTCGTTGTTATAACTAATTGTTCAATGTAATACTCCCTCCGTCCCATAATAAATGAGACGTTGGATTTTTTTTTACTATTCATGCATTAGATTTGAGCATAATTTTTTACTAACATAATTAAAATATATTTTCTCAAAAAATATGTTGATAGATAAGTATTAATATAAAGTTTCATAATATAATTTTTAAAATAATTTTCATTAAATTTAATTATATAAAAATAAAGTCAAACTAATGCATTGACATGTGTATAATGTTTGACTGTGTCATGTATTATGGGACAGAGGAAGTACTGTTTATTTGGTTCTCATGTTACTTAGTGTGTGTCTTTTTGGTTGTTTTGTTTGTATTAGTTTGTCTTCAGGTTGTAATACTATTTTTTGTTAATAGAATCTGTTGTCAAAAAACAACAACCAAAAAAAAAAACCTAATTGTTCAATGTTTCTGACATCTGCATTAGGATATTTTGTTGTATAATGATGATGGGCAGGTCCATGGGCCGAACTTAGTGAGCTAGCCTGTGGGTAATTTCGTGTTTCTATATGTCCTTATAGGGCCGGGTGTATAGAGTTTATTTTAAATCACACCAAACCTTCTTTCTCTTCCCACCTTTTCCCACCCTTTCTTTTCCATCCCTTTTCTTTATCCAAACACATCACAAGCAACAACAAATTGAACCTTCAAGAAATCAAGACCACGTCTTCAAAAGAAGTCATGTTGTTCTGTAATTAACATCATACACACTTATTGCGTTCCTTTCATCATCTTAAGATTGCTAGTCACCTTTCTTTACCTCTTTATACCTCCATCCTAATCATCCCAAATTTACATCTTCCTCAATTCTCCAACTTAGACACACACTCCTAGTACATTTATTGACATTCACACAAACAAAACCCAACGTATTGTACAAGAGAGCCAAAATCAGCAAACTCAAAAGGGTATCATCCTACAGTAACAAAGATCAGAGCAACCACACACTTCCCACGTTATACAACTAATACGCACTGAAAGCAATAAAGAAAGTGAAACAAAAGAACACCTTAACATGCATGAAGAACAACAAAGAGGAACGAAGCAAGATCAAAACCTACTAACGCCCAAAAACCAGAACATGGGCCATAAATAGACCTCAACGGCAACAAAATTGGCAAAATTAAATCCAAAATATGTCCTTAATACAAGTATAAGAAATGGATCAATGGTTTGGATTTCTGCTGTCTTGTGCTAGACCCCGGCAACTAGCTAGACTCTAGCCATTTAAACAAGTATTGTTGACAAATGATATTGATAAAAGGGCGGCCACTCGGACAAAAGTCGTACGTACTTACGTGCTTGCCAGCTTTAGTATGCAAATAATTCACACAAATATTTTATCAACTTCAAAGGAAATCATCATCCGCCTTCATGCACGTTCAAACTTTTGGGATGGTTGTAATTATTTTTATTTGTCAATTGTGTAGTGGTGCATAAACGTAGACACCTTTTGGTCCAAATTACTTTGTATTTTTTTATTTTTTTTTAAGGTAAGGAGAAGGATGCTGATTGTACCTTAATCTTCATGGTTTTTTGGTCTCATATTTGTAGATCAAGACATTTTGACAGTGAGGGGAAAAGGGTAAGAGATCCCCATCCTCAAAGTGTCTCTAGTAAGGATTGAACCTCTGGAAGGTACAATCTTTACCACTAGACCAAGCTTAACTTGATATTGATGATTCCAAATTACTTTGTATTACTAACTTTCTTAACAAAAGTGACAAAACATAAGCATGCAACGATAAGATAGGGGGTAGGTAGTACTCGATGTTTGTCATTTAGGGGGTGTTCATAAATCGGTCTGGACCTAAAAATGGACCAGACCGACCTCGGACCGGACCAGACCGAATTAATCGGTCCGGTATTCGGGTCTAGAAAATTATTTTTTTGGTTTTCGGTCCGATCCGGTATAAAACCCTATAAAAACCGATCTTGGACCGGATCGATTTTTTTTGCTTAAAATATGTGTGAAACCTTAAATAATGGTTAAGATTATCCTTAATAAGCTTAGAAAACTTTAATTTTATGAGCTTTTTTGTACTAAACATACAAAAAAACGTTAAAATATAGTTTTTCCCTTACTTTTTTCGACTTTTCAATAAAATTATTAAAAATTTAGATTTTTTTTTTAAAAAATTCTTAAATCGGTTCAAAGCGGTCCCGACCGGGGTTTGGATCGATTCTTTTGATCTGGTCCGGTTTCGGTCCCAGGTTAATCGGTCCGGTCTTCGGTTCTTAAAATTCTAATTTTCAGCCTTCGGTCCGATTGGAGTCGGTCTGGTCCGGTCTTTGACCGATGAACAACCCTATTGTCATTGATCCGAATTCATCTATACTACTAGACTACTACCTTCCTACCTCTATGTATTCCATATGTTTCAATATTCATAGTAATTATATTTTCAAATTTGAATTGACAATATTTGTCAACTTTACCTTGATTATTGTAGGAGTAAGTCGTAGCAATATTGATTTCATGGCTGAAAACAAGAATATTGCAATAAAAGATAATGAGGGGTGAGCAGATATACAAATGAGATGGTTCTGGACACCAAGTAGGTGGGCCCTTTCAGGAACCCAAAGAAGCATGCACCTTGATGTCTAACTTTTCTGGGCTAAAAAATGTTTTTCGGGGCTAAATTTGAAGGCTAGCTAGCAGCTATAACGCACGAAAATAGATCATTTTTAGATATTTTGGAATTTAGTGTCGAAATCTGATCAAAGGATGCAACCCAAGATCATATTGAATTGTTTGTAACTATATACGTCCTCTAGTTAGTCACATAAAAGCTCGTGACGGCTTTGAATTGATGAAAAGGCGACATATACTTCCTATGTATTTGGCTAAATCAATAATTAAGAGGCAAAGTGGATGGTTACAAATTTACAATCACCTAAATGTTCACCAAAGATCTTGTGGAATCCATAGGAACTGCCTTGTCCCCTTTCCTTTTCGAGCAAAGAAAGTCGGGAACTATTCAAACTTAAAGACTATATCCATGCTTTAAAATTAATTTCGAAAAAATTTCCAAAATTGAAGTGGTTGTGAAGGGTGTCCCTCCAAATTATAAAAGTTGGTTTGTAACCATAATAAACCTAAAAATAATAAGTCTGCTAGTTGATTTGTCACTGTTTTGAGGTCAGATGTGCGTAACAAAAGTTAAAAAAAAAAAATTCCAGAGTCTTCCAAAACAAAATAATGTGACAAAGACGAATCCGTTGTTACCCATAATAATAAATCAATTCAGCTAGTTGTTTAGCCTTTTTTTTTGGTGCTATCTTTGAATTAATAATTAGTACGAAGTATGATGGTGGGATGCAAAGCGCAT